AGATTCAGACCCTTCAGTCTTCTATGCACTAGATCTAGATCCTCCAGCCTTCTATGCACTAGATCTAGATCCTTCAGCCTTCTATGCACTAGATCTAGATCCTTCAGCCTTCTATGCACTAGATCTAGATCCTCCAGCCTTCTATGCACTAGATCTAGATCCTTCAGCCTTCTATGCACTAGATCCTCCAGTCTTCTATGCACTTTCAACAACTTCTGAGTTACTACTGGAATTCCAAATGAAACTATTTGATTCATAGTTTGGAAATTTGTAGTCAATATTTCATTTATTTGAATTTCAGAGAATTTACATTTTTCATACTTTCATTGGTTTTTATTCCATATATGGTTAGACCCTAACATCCAGTATTACTGAATTGTGTTACAAGCTGGTTTCTATCCACTCAAGATGGCGGAGAAACCAGAAATTCTGCTGTTATGAGAATAAGCTAGTGATGAACTAATATAGAGTGAAAATACAGGATCAAAAGATACAATATTTTTATGTTAAGAAAATTTTCAAATCATCAGAAAAATTCACTCTTTTATATAGTTTAAAAGTTTCATTAAATTTAACTATCAATAGCAAAGAAATTGTATTAAAAAGATTTGTTAGTTAATTGTATTGTAACTAAAAAAAAATTGTAAAATTGACAGAATAGCTTTGTTGTTTCCAGTGGCTTTTTTTTTTAGAAAGAACATGTGTTCAAAAAAGTGAGAATGTGCTAAACTTGTATGAGCATGTAAAACTTAATTTAACTAAATATATTGTGTTTGAATGAGCCACGTGTATGCAGGAATGTGACTGTTATATGAAATGTTCAGATGCACACACACACATCATATATTACAGAAAGTACTTTGTTAAGAAAAATACTGTTTGATGCAAACTTTTTTTTAAATGCATGTTATGGTTAAGAAAGTATAAGTAACCATAAAAGAAAAAAATTACATATTTGTTAAACCAGAAAATTATTGAATACATGATTACACATTTTAAATTTAAATAACTTAATATTAGAGGTTGACCAATCATCAAATTCCAAACAATTTAAAATAACTGGATCCAACTAATAAAAATACTTAGATCTCAAAACCAAATTATTTCTTATACAGTAATGGATATTTCTGTGACAAAAGCAATATGAACTTTCTCTAGAAGGGATTAATAAACTCATATCAGGATTAGAGATGGTAATACCCTTAGCAACACAAATGAAATGATAAACACAGGCCTGGTAAATAGTCAGTATTCTATAAATCTGTTAGAAACAGATGCTCTACCAAAAAGCTCTATTGTTAAGTCTTGTGTATGGGCCAGATTCTTTACAGTAGGTGTCTGTCACTTGTTGGCAATAAATTTCAACAATAAATAATAAACAGCACACAGTCCACTTGTTTTAAAGTAATATATTAAAACAAGTATATACAAATGTTCATTACATTGTTGGTTATCACAATTGTATCCAGAGCTTTAAATAATTCTCTTTTTTTTTACCAAATTCCACACAGGTTGGTTCAGTAACTTTATAATTGACAAAACAAATTATTATTCTCTAATTTATCAGTCATTTGTAAATAAAAAATAATTTGTTAGTACTTGGTTCAGTCATTTAGAACTTCTTTTAAAAGCTTATTTAATAGTTTTTTCTTTTTGCTTGGATAAGTGTCTTTTTTTGAAAATTCGGGTGTTAATGTTACTACTAGAATGACTTATACTGCATCCTTCATAAAACGAGTTATTTCCTTTCGGTTGGAGTTGGTATTCTACTAAAAACAGTAACTTAGGTCTTCAGTGAACCTAAGATAATGTCTGCTGAAGTAGAAAACACCACCATTTATACTTAATACTTTACTTATAAGCTCTTAGCATTGTTCAGTTTTCTGGAATATACACAAAATCTTGTTGAGATTTGACAGACTAACACAAAAGTATATTTGTTTGTATTATCAGTGGCCATATTGAAATGTTGGTATTTACAATAATAATCAGCACAAACAGTGGGACATTATTTAGTTGTGCCCTTTAAGTATTCTTGTCTTAATCATTTACTTGATCAATGTGATATGTTTTATTTAAAATAGAATACTATAACCCTATGTTTTATTTCTCTAATAGCAAACAGTAAATTTTGGCCTAATGTGGACATATAAGAAACTGATGTTTAATATATTAGCAGTAATAAGTAGGCATTCATTGTAAGAGTTAATTTCTGTAGTGCTTTACTTTCAGAACTATATATATTCTAAGTCAAATTTTACACTACAGATGACTTGTTAGCAATTTCGACTTCCAATATTAGACACGAGTCACTAACCATGAAGCTTAATTCTTATCTCTGGGAAGAAACTGCCTACTGGTTTGAAACAAGTACACATAGGAACAGAAAATTGAGAATAATATTTAAAGCATAAACTGAAAATATATCGGTACAGTTTTTTTTTTTATACCCTCCTTACAAACTTGTTGAATTGGTAAGCAGTAGTTATAAAAACAAGGTCATAAGATTGTTAATCAAACCTGTGTGTGTAACATATTTAATTTTTACTTATGAAGATGATGCTCTAGTGATATGGCTGAACCAGGATGTAGCAAAAACATGGTTATAAAAACTGTTAAGCAACCATATGTATGTCTAAACGTATTTCATTCTAATTCTAAAGACAACACTTTGGTGTCTAACTGAACTGGGATGTTTGTTCCAAGATACAAATTCCCATCAACAGAACACAGAAAGAAGTATCAAACTGTCAGAATAATTGATGACTACTCATTAATTACCTTGTGCTTACTAACGAGTTTGATACCAAGTTTAAAGTAAATTTAAAAGACAAGGGGTGACAAGAGTAACTCTCCAGAAAATTAACAAGTCCATAACAAACTTAAATTATGAGACAAGTGGTGATCTAAGGTCAGAGTAAAGATGTCAGTGAGTACGTAGCAAAGGAACGTTCACACTCAAGAGACAATCTAAGAACCGTAGCCATTGGTGATCTTGAGCTGTTGTTGTTATGATAACAAGAGCTCTTGTGCATCACCTTTGACCTTTTGATTGTTAGTCACGTTCTTGATACAAATGCTGTATAAAAGCTGGATAGCTCTTAGTGGCAGGGATAGGTATTAAGTATACATCAGAGAGTTTTACCAGCTGTCCAGCCTGCACCAGAAAGAGTCATCATCCAGTCATGCCCTCAAGTCTTGGCTTCCAGATACGTATAGTTTTACTTGTAACAGAGATTTTAAGTCTAGGTAACAGTTCTCTTTAAGTACTTAGAGGTAGAAAGGCAAGAAATGTTTAATGGTGACAACATTTATGGAATATGTAATTGTTTTTGTATTAATAAAAGTTGTATTTTTAATTTCTCACATAAATCTCCTTGTGTTGGCAATAATGTGCAATGCCACTGAGTAAATCCTGGTATTTTTTAAATAACTACTCTTTGTAATGACTATCTGTCCTGTCAATAGTGCCAATTACAGGATAAAGCTTTTAGTATTGGTATTTTCTATCAAAATCGAACCTTATGGTTTAAACAGTTTAGTTCGAGACTCCTGGGAATCACATCTATAACTCTCAACTTGTGATAAAACTGAAGGCTGCTAGACAAAAGCTTCTGCCACCACAAGGGTTTCATCTAGCTTTTTTAAATTGATTTTATAACATAGCTGAAAGTGTGAAGCATGTTTAAACGCATCACGGCTCAAACCACAACCTTTGATCTATAGTTAAACACTAAGTCACAACTTGTCCTTAGTTTACTGCTATGCTGAATGAAGAATGATATAAGTAAAATGAAAAGTATTACAAAAATATTATAGTAACACGGCAGCACTAACAGAATTTACTCATATTTTAATTATTTAAAGAACTCGGTCTACTGTAACAAAATAACATACAAATGTGGAAATATTTATATGAGCCAAACTAGAAGAAATTTTAAATACAGAATAAATGAACACAAAGGTTGAAAATAATAATACAAAGATCTCACCTTTATTACTGAAACTAAAGACTTCACTCAATGGGAAAAAAAACTGTTATTTTAGCACAACCTGCAAACATCAATGGTGATAATATTCGTGAATCTATTGAGATAATCAAGTGTAATGAAAGTAATTTTAATGTATTAAATAAGGACCAGAGGGAAATATTGTTAGATGGCATGAAATTCTTTAAGCTATATTGTTATAGTAAGTTGAGTAAAACTTTCCTTACATTAAAACATGTCTACTTTTACAGTTTGTACTAAATATTTTAAAAGTTATGTAAAAATAATTCAAATTGTTTAAAATCTTCGTATGATTTATAGAATTACGTATTGAGTTCAATAAATATAATGTAAATCTTAAAGAAAAGCTAGAAATATTTTATCTGGTAATTCGTCAAGTAAGCCACCTAGATTTTCTATTTTCTAGAAAAACTTATGTTCTAACTACCTAAAGAATCACATTATGCTTTAAAATACCAAACATTCACAAACTATGAATCTAAGTTTCAAATGAACAACAACTGCTTGTTGTAGAGACTTACAAATGTAGAGGACGACGTTTCAAAAGTCTTTCATCTTCAGGCAGTACACTTTCAAAACATTGTCCTCTACATTTGTAAGTCTCTACAACAAGCAGTTGTTGTTCATTTGAAATTTAGATTCATTAT